CTGTATGGAAGCTAGGTAAGATTAAAAAACCAGGTCACTTTCCTTATCAAGGTCCATTCCATGTGTTGTAGGGAGAAAGGAGCAAGAAACAACTATCTTTTTTGACTTTCTTCCCACCTCCTCGTTTCATAGCATTTAAGCCTAGGGTGGGAACAGGTCTATCACAGATTTTCTTACGTAATTGATTGTTCCAAGTCCAACTTCACAAGTCCTGCCTGACTTAGGCATGACATTTCCTGAGACAAGTTGCGGTCAGCTAGCCACCTGCCACAGCAGGTTATAGGGAAAAGGCAGCTTCCAGTGGATAAAGATTTTTGCTAAGGTGTGTTTTTGATCAGCTCCCCCCCCCCCATCTTTCCCCTTCTCCTGATGCTTGGCAAATAGCTGACCTCTAGTTTTAACTGTTTCCCAATCTGTAGACTTACATTGAGAGGCTCCTTTCTACATACAGACTAACAGGTCTGTCTTTTAAAGGAGAAACCTTGAATAGCCATCCAAGCTTCATTCCTACCTGCTCTAGGCATCTCATGTATGTAGTGATTTACATATAAAAGCTCTCTACTGAAGATCAGTCGCAGTAATCATGGAAAATCCTGTAAAAGCATTATATAAACCTTAGCTGTTATGTTGAAGTCTCCCGTAGCCCATCATGTGGAATAGCCCTCCTCAAAGTCACATTTTTTCTGGAATTTGTTCAATTTAATACCTTCTGCTGCAGTTTCAATGCATTTCTTTTAATTTTCCCTTGAGATGAAATTGAAAATACCCTGTCACCATGATTGAACCCAACTGCCATAAATTATGAATTTGAAGATTCATAGAAATGAGTGAGAACAGCCTTCTTTTGGACTCCCATAACCCTTGTTTATTATTGGCAGTTAACGTAATTCTCCAGCCCTTTTTTGAGCTTGAGGAAAAAAACCAATCAGGACTCTGGCTGAGTAGTGTTTTTGTTTTTTATTATACATCAAAACCAAGATTATGCTCCTTTAGAAGAAGAACCTTCAAAATCTTAAATTCCTGCGGCATCCAGACTGGAACAAGTCGGGACACTGAGTGTGAAGAATGGACAAATAGCAGTGACCGTTGAAGTGGGCGATGAAGGAGGCCCAGCTCCCCTGGCCTGCACTCCCTCAGGCCCTCTGTGTGAGAGTGTGTGTGTGTGTGCGCGTGCACCTGCAAGGTGGGGAAAACTGAACTGTCTTACAAAGGGGTCATTGCAGTAAAGCCAGACGGGACCTTGGAGGCCGTCTAGTCCAAAGATTGATCCAATTTCTGAGTAATGCCCGCATTTCCCTCTGTCTTTCTCATTCCTTGACTGGGCTGAGGCAGCAGTTAATAAACTGTGACTGGGAAGAGTTATTTCTTTAGAAAGAAAAAAGTAGGAGTCAGTGCCATTGCGGGTCTTTGGGACCTTTCAGTACTGTGGTGTAGGGATATAACCACGCCTCACAAAGCGGGCAGGTCTGGAGCTTATCTGGTCCATCCTCATTTCTTCTGGTGTACCTACTTCAGTATCTGCAAGGTTCCTGTAACCTAAGCTGACACCTTTCCACTCCACACGGTTCATAGCCTTCATTCCTCGAAGACGATGAAAGAGGCCTCCTTTGCTCGGCCTGCTTAAACATAGAAGTGATTCTTGATGTCCTGTTTTGTTGTTTGAGTGGGATCACCTCAACTCCTATAAGCTTTCCTTTCTGGTCCTGTACTCTGACCCCTTCCTCACTTCTTATCCTCAGCAGATAGCAGGTGACCAGACGATAGTCCCAAGGTATAGAACAATCACTTGGAAAGGAAAAAGTATCTCCAAAAGGGAACAAGAGGACCTAGAGGTTCAAGTGACAGCAGCTCAAAGAAACCTAATAGAACCCCAAATAAGTATTTTAACTACTATGACCTCTTGCATCTGAGCATCCTTGCTTGTTCAGTGGGGTCCAGCCCTCCCTCTCCGGTGCCTCCAGAGCTGAACTTTGAGCCTGCTCAGTTTTCAAACTCCTCCAAAGCATCCCTGCACCTGGTGTAATTAAAAGAGTACAGAATTTAATCCAAAGATCTTTAGCCTCTCAGGGTCCCAGAACTTGGATGGGGTGGGGGTGGGGGGAGTATATCTTTAATCTTTACTAGCCTAACTGAAAAGTTAGCATTTAAATTCTGAATGTGGGCAACAAACCTTTTTCTGAGGAGGGGTTCAAAAGCTTTAGTAGACTGCCAAAAGTGGGAGCCCATGACAAAAAAGATGGAGCACCCCCAATCTCATCTCTCACTTTGCTGATAAAGAAAGGGCCAAGAGTAACTTGCCATAAGTCATAGCCTCAAGTGCCTGAGCTGGGAGCCACCCCACCCCTGATGCCCCACGTCTCCCAGGCCACTGCTCCTTCTACTAACTATACCATCCTGGGTTTGAATTAACCAGAATTGATTCTTAATCACCAGTGGTACCCTGGCCAGTTCAACTATTTATTAAGTACCTACAAAGTGCACTACATTTACTAGGGGCTAGTGATACAATGACCAAAAATGAAACAAAGTCCTTCCCTCGAGGATCTCACGTCTGTTGTCACGTCCCCTTCTCGGCATCAGTGTCCACATCTGTGAAATGGGAATGTCCGTTCAGGATCTGCGGAATTCTCAGCCCGTCCCGCCCCCGACCTCTGAAGCTTTGCTCTGGTCCATCCACAAACGGGAGTACAAAAGGTAGGTGTAGTGACTGCATGGATGCACTGGAGGGCAGCGCTTCTCGCGGACTCGGCAGCCTAAATCTCAGGGGAGGGGAGCGGGGGGGGGGGGGGGGGAGAAGGATGGTCCAAACCAAGAACTGATCGGACCAGGCGTGAAGGTCTGTCCAGCAGGCCCGGGCCGGGGGCGTGGCGGGGAGGGGATAGAGGAGGGGGCAGTACTGCCGAGACTGTCACCACGTGGCTGTAATTTGACTCTAGTTCGGCCAAGCTACTGTACACTCCCAACAATGCTGATGGAGACCCTTGACCCCGCTGATAACAATGATCATTTCTGTTGGATTGAAAATTTGGGGATTGGGATTTTTTTTTAAACTCTGCCCATTCTCTGAAAAGACTTATTAAGAAATTTGCAAAGCGGGACTAGTCTAGTCTAGTGGAAATTTTCTGGGACTAATTCACAGAAAAGGTAATTGTGGGTGGCCTGTAATCATCCTTATCTTGTACTCCCATAGAACTCTTTTTGGGGTGGGTAAAGTGTGTGTCTGGGGTGGGGGTCCTAGTACTAGAAGAAGGGTGTTTACTTGGCCAGTGGCAAAAGGATTGCCGAGGTAATTGATCTCTTCCCTTCTGATCTCAGCCTCATCTCTTCACCTCCGAAGAAATATAAAGTAAAATTGGCTGTCTGGAAATGGAAGTGGCCAGTGCCCAAGTCTGATCACATATACAGACTGACACTGTTACCAGTCCTCTGCCGACCACAGAGTGAGCCCTGGATAAACCATGTAAACTGAAATCAGCCCAGGCCCAAAGTGGAGCAGGCGAGGTATTCTGTTACCTAGGACAATGGCCCACCGGTGCCATTCTGGCCTCCACCCAACCTCCTGAGCTATAATCAGGCTGGAGCAGCTGCAGACAGCAATCCAGGTCAACTGCAAAGTGGGAGGCAGAGTCCAAAGGGATGGAGAAAGATGCAGACATCAGCAGACTCTTCCCTTCCACAGAAGCTGCCAGGCCTTCTTAAAGTCACGCCAGGAGATAAGGTCAGGATTAGTTAGGAGTGAGGGTGGCAAAGCTAGAAGATGAGATGAAGGGGTCCTGCTCTCCTCTGTCCTGGTTCCCTGCTCTCAGATCCTCAACATGACGCTGAGACTAGGTCTGCATGAGGTGAAGAGAACCAAGAAATGTGCTCACTTCAGTCAAAAGACTCAACTCAGCCTCCCAGAAAAAGTTTGTCAGAGATTGACTGTGCATACTTGTACTTTCTGTACTTTTTCAGTTAAGGAGGCAACATCACTGACCTTAGCCCCTAAATACTCCTTCTAGGACCCTGGAATTCTAGAAATGTACCTAGATTGCCTTTGTAAGATCAGCCCATCCTGACACCAAGTGATCCCCTCATATTCCTTCCATCCCAGGGTAGAGTAAGGTATATGAGGATGATTGAAGTGGCGGCATTTAGGGTAAATGACAAGCCAAAAGGTAGGATCAAGGTTTCTGTCATCCGAGAAACTGAGAGGGCCCAGACAGCAAAGCGTGGGACGGGGCCAAAAACTTTATCTCTCTACAGAAGGGAAAGTGGAGGGGGTTGGTCAAAAATGCACTCTAGCATGGGCTTTGTGTATCAAGCTAAGGGCACACAGAGGTCCCTCAGACTTAGACCCACTGACCAGTTTGTAATCCCTTGCAGCTAAACTCAGCAATAGTTAGTATAAGCCAAGAGTCTGTTCTCTGAAAAGAGGGTTGCACAGACTCTAGTCTCTATGCCCTACTCTCTGGAGCTACCTCCCATTTGGTCAACCTAACCAAGAACCAGAAAAGCCTCCTTGTAACTGTACACTTCTCTCTTCTTTCTCTCCTTCAATCCACCCTCACTCTGTTTTTCATATGATCTGGAGACAATTTATTTTGGCAAGGAGAATAAGGCCCCTTCTTTTGGACTCCAGGCCTTTTCATTTCTTTGTCTTTCAAACTCCCAACAGGAGTTCTGATTTCAGTCCGTTCCTCTCCTGCCATCTCTGCTCTTTTATTTCTCAGCTGGCATTTCTTACCACTAGCTGCTTTCAGGGCCCCCAGAGAAACAAAAGGTTGGGGAGACCAAAGGGGAGGCACAAACCAGCCAAGCTCCATAAATCGCTTGGAGGTTAAGCCTGGGAGGAAGAGGAGCAAGCAGTGCTTGGCAAAAGAGAGAGTATGAGTGTCTGGAGGGAAGTTCCTCACTCCCACTTTTCCCTGTCTGCAGCAAACCCCGCCACCGCTACCATGGGTCCTCCATCATAGATGCACTGAGGTGGCTTAGGTTTGGGGGCTGGACAGGCAGTGATCTCACTTGGAGCTGGAAGCTGGGTGGGCCAGGTGGAGGAAGGTGTTGGTGGCGTAATTCTGGAAAAGTGGCTGCAGGAACATGCCGATGGTGCCAAAGATACAGACAAAGACAAAGATCCAGAGGAACAGGCGATCAATCACCATAGCAACATACTTCCAGTCCTCACTCACCTGGGTGAAGAAAGAGAGGAGAAGGGGGAGGGCAGAGGGTCAGCAACATGATGGGAGAGGGATGAGTGGTGGGTGAGGGCACCTCCCTGCCTTCTCCCCCCTTGTCCCATATAAGAGGCTTGGCACCCAGGCTCCGCCTCTAATAATAAAAATAATGATGATGATGATGATGACCATTGTAGATAGCCTTTACAAAGCACTTTCCTGTTAGCTCATCAGTATCAAGGGACTTATTTGTCAGTCACAGTGTCAGAGATGGAATTTAAGCCCAGATCTCTTGATACCACATCTACTCCCTGCTCCACAAAATAGGGCCATCTCCTACAATGGGCAACAGGTGGGTGGAATTTGACTTAGAAAAATAAGGACCTACTGGCCATGGAAAGAGGAAATTAGGAATTGTTAATATGTGCATTTGCAAAAAAGTAACCTTTAGGGGCAGCTAGGTGGCGCAGTGGATAGGCCCTGTACTTAAGAGGACCTGAGTTCAAATAAGAGCTCAGACACTTACTAGTCTTGTGACCCTGGGCAAGTTACTTAACCCCAATTGTCTCCAAGAAACAAACGGCCTTTAAAAGTGTCCCTTGTGCTCCCAACATGTTATTCCCCAGGCCGCTGCCCATATTGTCTTACCCTAGGCCTGGTTTAATGTTGGTGCAGTTCATGAAGGAATATAGCTATTATGTCCTTGAGCCTTGGACGTGGAGGTAGGAGACCTGGTTTTGAAACCAGAATACCCCACACATTAGTTGTGTGAGGTTGGGCAAGTCACCTCATTTCTCCAAACCTCTCTCTACTTCCTCATCAGGAGTATAACCCCAGCCTTGCCTGCCTTGGGATTTACTGTGTGGATCAAATGAAACTATCTGCATAAGGGTACTTTGTAAAATGAAAAGGCCTATATAAATTTCAGGGGTCCTTTATTTTATAACTTGCACTTCATTGGCAATATCCCAAATGTGCACCAGAGATGGGGGCAGCTAGGTGATGCAGTGACTAGAGCACTGGCCCTGGAGTCAGGAGGACCTGAGTTCAAATCCAGCCTCAGATACTTGACACTTACTAGCTGTGTGACCCTCGGCAAGTCACTTAACCCAACTGCCTAGCAAAAAAAATTAAAAACAAAACAAAAAAAAAATTGGAGATGAAGAGAGCTGTTAGCCTGAACGCTGGGCTCCAGGGTTTGAGAGCCAAGGCTGCCTCTCTCTCCCCAGCACTTCCTTAAATAGAGAAGATCTCATCAATCACCCAGTCTTGCCCATACCTGAAAAGGAATCTCTATAATGTCCCTGACAAGTGGTCATCTACCTTCCACTTCCACCTCAAGTGATAGGGAACCCCCTACATCCAGAGATAGCTTATTATAGGGATTCTTAACTGTCAGTCCATTTAAAAAAATCAATCTTGATAAATGTATTTCAATACAATTGGGTTCCTTTGTAATTCCATATATTTTATGCATTAAAAATATTATTCCAAGATGGTGTCCATAGGCTTCACTGGCATGGCAAAGGAGCCCATAATACACAAAAAAGGTTTGGAACTACTGGTTTGCTTCACTTTTTTGAGATTGTGTGTATTCCCATGATTTCACAGCCACATAGCATCACTGGAAGAATACTAATGTTTTTAAAATGTAAGATTTTTGTTTCAGGGAGAATCTTGTAGTCATCAAAAATACTGTACATTTTCCTCCTGCGATTCAGCCTGTTTTCTCTTTTTCAATCCTGGGGCCTGTTCAATTTTGGTAGTGTCTATCCACGGTATATGTATTGATGAACCAGATCCATGGGTTGTATATCATAATCTGAGTAATAGGCATTCTTCATCCATTTGGTTTTTCTTATGTGGATTGTTAAGCTGACATCTTAAATGATTTGGATCTCATTTAAGAGGCTGTGCAATGATCTGGGTGTTACAATAAGTGTAATGTCATTCACAAATTGGAACATCCAGTGGGCTCACCACATATCAGAAATCTCTCATCCATATAAACTGTCCTGGACATCCTCTGACGTTTCCAATGGCAAACATCTTTAGCAAGCATATGTGTGCCTACTTTATGTCTTACTTGATATTAATAATAAGCACCTAGATGGCATAATGAAGAGAAGCTTGAACCTGGAGTCAGCAAAACCTAACACATCCAAGTTCAGATCTAGCTATGTGACCCTGGGCAAGTCATTTAACCTCTGCCTGAGTTTCCTCATCTGTAAAATGGGGATAATAATAGTACCTACCTCCCAGGGTTCTTGGGAGATGAGTTAATATTTGTAAAGTGCTTTGTAAACCTTAAAGCTATACGTGCTAGCTAGTATTATTGTTGTTTTAATAATAGGAGGTGATCAAATGCAATCATCTCATATCTTTAAAGGTATTTTGCATGATCTTATGGGAAGTACCTTGTTGAATAAGAGCCTTTAAAACTGCATTTTGCCATTTCAGTCATGTAACAAACAATAACATAGTGTCATCTTATATTCTCTGTTGTTGTTCAGTCATTTTTCAGTCATGTCCGACTCTTTGTGACCCCATTTGGGGTTTTCTTGGCAAAGATATTGGAGTGGTTTGCCATTGCCTTCTCCAGCTCATTTTACAGATAAGGAAACTGAGGCAAACAGGGTGAAATAACTTGCCCAGGGTCACACAGCCAGTAAGTGTCTGAGACTGGATTTGGACTCAGGAGGATGTCTTCCCGACACCAAGCCTGGCAATCCACTATGCCACCCAACATACTGAAGTGGTTTGCCATTTTCATCTCTACATTCTCTGTATCTTTTGGCTAATTTGTTACTACAATGATGTAGTCCTCTGTAGAATATTGTTTCTGAAAGCTTACATATTCCCTTCTCATATTTCTACCAAAAATGTTCATAATACAGATGTGAAGAATTCTCTGAAGAGTTTGTAGAGATACAAATTGGCAATAAATACTATTCTTACATGTAATGACAGCCATGATGTTTTCCAATCATTTGGTTTCTTTTTTAAACCTCTTGAGAATCAGTCCCTCAACACCCTCAAAATTGTGTCTGCTCCAGGGTGGACCCACTCTGTGTCTCTTTGATCTGGTCCAGCTGCTCTTCCTGCCTTTATTTTCTTCAGTGCCATTTCTGCCTCTTCACATAGCTTATTGGGACTGAGATGTTAGAGTCCAAAACTCATCATTCCACTCATTATCAGTGGAGAATATGGTTTGTTATAGAAATCTTGAGAGATCTTTCCAATTGTTGTCTCTTCCAGTTTCATCTTTAAATGTTCTTGAAATGATCTGGCTAATTTGGGACTCGTGGCAAGCTTTCTATTAACTTGGTCTTTCCTCTATTATTTCCCCCTGTTTTATGAGATGTTGCTGCTCCTGGTCTTTCGCCATCCTTCTCTATTAGATGTATAAATGAGTATATATTCTAAGTTGGCATTGCCTTTGCCTTTTCTATCTCTCTGGCTGGCATGGAATTCAAGCATTTGCCAACTGAGAATAGGCTCTTTTGGCCTATTCATTGTGACAATGGCTTCATATTTCTTAGACTTCTTAGACTTAGACTTCTTTCAGAAATAGTGATAGTGTTATGTCAATGATTGTTGCTGTATCCAGTTCCCACCAATAAATTAAGTAGTTTAGATTAGAGCTATTTTGATCACATGCCATATCTTCTAATTTTGTTCTTTCCTCTAATTTGGCATCGATTTTTACCTTTGGTCTAATAAGTCCTTAATCTGTCTATACATAACTATGTAATTGTGAAAGATTCCTACATTGACAACCAATCGTTTTCCATTTGAGGCATAATTAATTTCTTTTTTGATGGGCAGCTAGGTGGCACAGGCAGATACAGCAGCAGACCTGGAGTCAGGAAGACCTGAGTTCAAATCTGGTCTCAGATACTTACTAGCTGTGTGACCCTGGGCAAGTCACTTAACCCTGTTTGCCTCAGTTTCCTCATCTGTAAAATGAGCTGGAGAAAAAAATGGCAAACTACTCCAGTATCTTTGCCAAGAAAACCCCAAATGGGGTCTCAGAGAATTAGACACAACTGAAAAACAATTCAACAACAAAAATTTCTTTTAAAAAAAATAGTATTACTCAATGCTCACCACGTCCAGTGCATAATGATCTCTTCTTGAACAAATTATATATAAGTATGAACACATCATATGTATTTATACATGTGTGTATACACACATGTGTATATATGTATGTGTGTATACATGTGCACACATACATATATATGGTATATGAGGCTTTTGTGTAGCCTAAAAGCCTTTAGCTCTTTTGATTTCTTGATCTGGAGTTAATTTCCCAACATATTTTTCACTGTCTTTCTATGCCCACCTTTTCATTGAAACCACTGAGCATCTCATTGAGTACTGATTGACTCAATAGATAAAGTATCAGGCCTGGAGTCAAAAAGACCTGAGTTCAAATCTGGCCTTAGACAGTTACTAGCTGTGTGACCCTAAGTAAGTCATTTAACCTATGTTGCCTCAGTTTCCTCACCTGCAAAATGGGGATAACAACAGCACCTACCTTGCAGTGTTGTTGTGAGGACTGAATGAGAGAATATTTGTGAAGCACATAGCACAGGGCCTGGCTAGCAGGCGCTATATAAATGCTTATTCTCTTCCCTCCCCTCCTTCAAAGAACCAGAGAATGACCTATTTAGAGCTGGAAGGGACCTCGGAAGCCAACAAGTCCCAGTTTCCTCATTTTATAGACAAGGAAACTCAAAAACCTAAATGGGGATAATAATAGCACTTACCTCCCAGGGTTAGTGTTAGGATCTAATGAGATAATAATTGTAAAACATTTAGCACAGTGCCTGGCTAGTAAGCGCTATATAAATGTTAGCTAGTATTATTGTCATTACCATTATTATTGTAATGATGATGATGATGATGATGATGATGATGTGACTTGCCCAGAGTCACATACCTAGTAAATCCATGAGACAGGATTTGAACCCGTCTTCCTGACTCCCAAGTCCAATGCCCTACCCACTACATCCCACTGCCTTTCTGAATTCTTTTTTTTAATTTAATTTATTTTTTTAATTTAGTATTTTATTTTTCCCCAATTACACGCCTTTCTGAATTCTTACAATGTCTCTGCCTCCTCTTTTAGTAACAAGCCTATGCATAAGCTGCAGGTATCTTGACTGGTTTTTTTACAAATACATATGATAAGCACAGTGATACAAAGTGACTAAGTGATTTTTTTTTTGGACGAGGCAATCGGGGTTAAGTGACTTGCCCAGGGTCACACAGCTAGTGAGTATCATTTGTCTGAGGCTGGATTTGAACACAAGTCCTCCTGACTCCAGAGCTGGTGCTCTATCCACTGTGCCACCTAGCTGCCCCTACTGACTTTTCAAGTGATCTTTCTTGTCTTTCTACACAAGGTGAGACCGACTCTGTCAACTCCCTCATTTGCCTTCTGAAGGAGAATTTGTGAGCCATCCTTTCATTTAGGTTCTAATTCCCTGTATCTTCTGCTTTCATTTAAAGCCACAGCAGCAACAATAATAATAATAATAACCACTAACATTTATGTAGTACTTTAAGGTTTGCAAGGTACTTAATGAAAATGATCTCTGAGGTGGATATCATTATTATCCTCATTTTACAGATGAGACAGTGGAGATAAGGGGAGGTTCAGTGACTTGCCCAGCCAGGGTCTTCTGGCTAAAGTGTCTGCGCAGCACTTGAACTCAGGTCTTCCTGAATACAAGTCTACTGTTTTTTCTACTACATTAAGTTCTTTAAAAAAAATAAAAATCAGCATTACTTAGCATGATTTGGTACCAATACTATCCTCTCTGCCTCTGTTAAAGCAGTCTAAAATTACATTAGCTGGGGGCAGCTAGGTGGTACAGTGGATAGAGCACCGGCCCTGGAGTCAGGAAGACCTGACTTCAAATCCGGCCTCAGACAAATGATACTCACTAGCTGTGTGACTGTGCTCAAGTCACTTAACCCCATTACCTAGCTAAAAAAAAAAAATGTAAAATTACATTAGCTGTTTCAACAGCCAGGTCTCACTGAGCCTCACAAGATGCTTGTGGTCCACTAAAATCCTTAGCTCCTTCTCCGGCCACAAGCTCCAGGCTGTGCCCAAGACACCGACATTGCTTCCTCAAAAGATCTACCTCACCTGACTATTCATCCATCCTGCCTCGCCTCACCTCCTCCCCACCAGTAAGCTGTACTCTGCCCCCTCGGTCCCTTGCCTCTGACAGGCATCCTTTTGACTTCTCTTGCTAGGGGCGTGTGGGAATAGACAGGCCTAGGAGTCATTTTCCAGACCTCTCCACACTGTGGAGAAGGTAGTGCTGAGTACCTCACCCCTTTCCAACTCTCAGCAGAATGAAAGGTCCTCATGGGCTGGGACTATTGTGCTTGTTTGGGCAGCACCCTCTCTGTGCTACAAGCGGGGTCTGGTCACTACTGACCCTGCAGAGGGACCTCACATCTCTAAAAGCATGAGACACCTCACTTCTTCTTGGTTTGGCCAGCTCATATAACCTTCTCTCAGACTAGCAAAAACACAATTTTCTACCCTTTTCATCATTAGCTGCTCCTTATGAAAAAGAACTTAAGGAAACACTGGACCTTACACTTACATTGGGGCATCTAGGTAGCACAGTGGATAGAGCACTGGCCCTGAAGTCAGGAGGACCTGGGTTCAAATCCAGCCTCAGACCAAACACTTGACACTTACTAGCTGTGTTACCTTGGGCAAGTCACTTAACCCCAATTGCCTAAAAATTTAAAAAAAAATGAGGGGGAGGGGGTTTAGACCAGAGGATCTCTTCCTTCCAGCTACAAATTCTTTGAGCTTTAAAAGATGGAGCTGAGAGGTCAGGCTAGGCGGGCAGGCTTAATGCAGGAGAGTGTGAGGTGAAGAAGGTTCTCCAAGTGACTGCATCAGCAAAACTGAATCCATCTCCCCTGAGATCCTAGAATTGAAAGTGCCTTTGCAGAAGAAAATTCCAGAATAGTACAAACTCAGTGAGGAGATGAAGGGGGAGGGCAAGAGAAAATGATGAAAAATGCCTAACCAGCAACCAACATCCTTGCTTCCACCCTCAAGGTCTCTGCCATAAATATTTCATAAGGCTGCTATCCAGGGAGCCAATTGAGTAGAAAAGGGACATTAGTTTGGGGAGATGCCCTTTTCGAGCAGAGCCAGGAGTGGAACTTTTCTAGAGAGAAATACCTCAAGATATTTCTACTACTCACTCTTCCCAGGTCTTTTATTTTATATCCAATAGAGGACAGAAAGTACACACCCTCCATTGTTGTTCAGTCATTTCAGTCATGTCCAACTCTTTGTGACCCCTTTTGGGGTTTTCTTGGCAAAGATACCGGAGTGTTTTGCCATTTCCTTCTCCAGCTCATTTGACAGATGAGGAAACTGAGGCAAATGGGGTTAAGTGACTTGTCCAGGGTCACATGGCTAATAAGTGCCTGAGGCCAGATTTTAACTCAGGAAGATGAGTCTGCCTGACTTCAGGCCCCATCACTCTATACACTGCACCACCATCCACTAGCTGAAGGGAGGGGGAGACAAGATTTTGCTTGTCAAGAGAGGTGGGTAAGATGACCACACTGCATTCTAGAAAGCTGCCTTCTCCCTCTCTCTTTCCCTTACCCCAACTTAAACCATGTCACTCCATTGTTGCTTCTTTCTGGATACATTTGGAGATCAGTAAGATAATTCTGTATCACTCAGAACTCAAGGATGGACCTCTGAAGCAGGCCATTCCAAACTAACCTTGCCTGCTGGCCATCCTGGTGGTAGAGTAGGTGAGGCATTCGATACCAAGATAGAAGACTGGGTTCAGAGTCTGGCTCTACCACTAGCCAACCACGTGATTTTGGACAAATCCCATCCCCTCTCTGCCCCTCAGATTCCACATCTGTAAAGTGAAAGCTTTGGATCAGATGGCCTTCAATGTCCCTTTCAACTTCAAAATCCCAGTATGATCCCTGGCCCACTTTTTGTCCTGCCCTCCACTGTACATTTATAAATTTTGTGGTTACGTATTTCATAGGCTCACAGATTTAGAGCTTAAAGGGACTTCAGACACCATTTGCCCCAACCCCCTCATTTTACAAATGAGGCGTCAAGAGGATCAATGACTTGCCCAAGGTCATCCAGGTAGAAAGTATCAGACCTTGGATTCAAACGAAGTTCCTCTGACTCCAGCTCCAGCATTATTTCCATTTCTATTGATTCTACCCTAATATTTTGACCTTCTTAGAGACAGGGATAGTTTCTTTTATGTATGTATACATATATATAATATATATGTGTGTGTGTATATATATATAATATATATGTAACCTACATAATATAGTATAACCTATAATGTATCTTACGAGTGCTAAAGAAATTTGACTGACCAAGTAATTTCTATACTAAGTCATTAGGACACCTCCAAGCCCCTCTCCCCTTCCCTCGTCTATACCTCTTCTATCCCCTACTTGCCAAGGGAGGACCTCTACTCCTCCAGCCCTCTTCCAATCTCCACACACTCACGCTTTGGTCATCATCCTCACTCCTCATGTGATCAGCAATGAAGCGCACACCGTCTACTGCCTCCTTGAGCCCACAGCCACATGGCCCAACAGGGCCCACTCGACCCCGGAAGCCATTGGCTGATTCAGCTGACTCAGCCCCAAAAACTCCACCAAACTCCTTGACAGAGGCCTGGTTGACAAAGCAAGTACAGGAATTGGCCCCTGGGGCATCTCCGAAGAATAGTCCCCCACCACCTTCCTGCTCCCGTTGCCGCCTTCGCTGCCTTAGCCTCTGCCTGGCACAGTTCTGGCGTGGCTGCTTCATGAAGAGGACAGCAGGTAGCTTCTCCAAGAAGACAACTTTGACCCATGGGGCCATGGTGTGGGTGGTCGGTGATCGGTGATGCACATTGAGGACGCAGACACTGGTGACAATGGAGAAAGTCACCAGTACCATGGTGAACATGAGGTACTTGCCGACCAGCGGCACATCCAGTGAGGTGGGTGGGACAATCTTGGAGATAAGCAGGAGGAAGACGGTGAGAGCCAGCAGGACAGAGATGCAGAGTGTCATCTTCTCACCACAGTCAGAAGGCAAGTAGAAGACCAGGATGGCAAGGGAGGTGATGAGGATGCAAGGAATGATGAGGTTGATAGTGTAGAAGAGAGGTTTGCGGCGAATGATGAAGTCATAGGTGATGTCCACATAAGTGGAGTCATCTGGATTCTCATTCCGCCGCCCCGGCAAGGCTACAATGTCCCATTCACCACTGGGTGTAAAATCATCCAAGTTGGCAACTTCACTCTTCAGTACCAAGTCAATTTCGGTGCGATCATAGGTCCAGGAACGGAACTTCATGGTACAATTCTGCTGGTCAAAGGGGAAATGCTTGACCTCAATCTTGCAGGCACTCTTGTAGATGGCAGGTGGAAGCCAGAAGATGCTACCATCATAGGAAACCACAGCATTGGAGTAGAAGGAGACCTCATACACCCCATCAGCACTGCAAGAGGATTGGGTAGGAGGGAAGATGAGGGGAAATCAGTCATGTCTCATTTCTTCAGGGACCCACCCTGTCCTGGGTAACACAAATTGGACATCTAGAGGGAGAAAGAGATTCAGTTCCTACACTTAGGAAGCTCTTAGTCTTATGAGGGATATAAGACACCTTCACCACACTCATTCTACAAGGCACAGATGTAGACAGAAAAAAGAACAGATGATTCAGCCAGATGGTGTTCTCAACGTTAGTTGAGGGAATAGGAAAGAAAAAGGAAGTGGAAGGGAGGGGGAACGAGGACCAGCAATCACTCTTAGGAAGGTTCTCTGAGGGGAAGGGGGAACAGGATTAAGAAAGTGTATGTGTGTGTATGTGTGTGTGTGTATGTGTGTGTGTGTGTACTTTTGTTAGAGGGGAAGATAAGACTGCCGGAGTAGGAGGCTAAGGGGGCTTATCTAAAGCAGGGAAAATATATCCTGTGGGAACTTTCAAAACTGAAAGAGGATTAAAGGGTAGGTGATGATAGAAAGGTGCAGGTAATTCTTAGATTGAATCGAGGGAGCATGATAGTGTGAGCAAAGTGGATTAAGATTTGAGGTGAGACAAAGAGAAGACATAGGATATAGGCTTTGAAACCCCCAAGCAGTGGGAAGATAGGGAACGGATAGGGAAGGATGAATTTATTAGAGAATGGTGATTCTTGCCCCGGGCATGGGAGGGATTCCTTGGTGAGAAAAGGGACCTCAAAAGATCCTTTGTTTCCCACCTCTTCCCAATCCTGACTACAATAAAGCAGCCTAGTCAACTGGCAAGCATTTTTTTTTAAAACAGTTTCTCTCCTTCCACCACACCTTCCACACATGAGTGCTAGCCTGGGAGTTTAGGAGATCTGGATTCTAATTTTGCTCCTACTGCTCTAAGGTTGCTCAAAATTCCAGTTTTGTTTTGTTTGGGTTTTTTTTTGTCTGAAAAAGGAAGGGTAAGGGAAGGGAGGGTGTTAAACTCTATGACTGGTAAGGTCTCTTCTAGCTCTAACATTCTATGAATCACAAGGAATCATTATTGGCTATAAGGGTCAGAGTAGTAGCTCAAATGATCTCATTTGTCAATTGATCTATATGTACATTTGCTTGTCTGTGTCACTGCCTATGTGCTGGTCAATTTATGTTCCTTTCCCTTCATCTACCTTGAACTAGTTGTTTTTGTTTTTTTTTTAATTTCTAACTCAACTAACCCTCCCATTGGCATCCTCCTTCTCTCCCCATTACTCAAGGGCTACATACTTGTTGTAGAGGACAACATCTGGAAGCCAGATGTGCTTGGAAGGGAGTCGCACTTTCTTCATATTGTCGAATTCTTCTGGTTTCCAGGTAAGCCGGTAATCCTCCCACTCCTGAGGAGAGATGCCAGAGAAGTGACCAGGGAGAGAGTGGCCATTCCAATAACAGAAAGGATTGGGGGAGGAATTAGAGGCTGACAAGGAATATGGTAAAAGGAAAAAGAATATAGTAAAAGGGAAGGAGTAGGAGAAAGCTACAACACCAAGATGCCTTCTGCCACTATCCCCTCTCCTTTATCTTGAATGTAGAGGTGGCCCCTCTACTTACCAAAGCAAAACATTCTAAATGAACAAGTATCCCATTCCATCCCACATTCTCCAGCAGATTGCCCCTTCCATCATCCCTGTCCTCTCGATTCTATTCAATCTCTCCCTATCTTCTGACCTGCCTATAAATATGGTCATGTTTCCCTCATCCTCAAAAAACCCCAACTTGATCCATCCATCCCCACTAGCAATAAAACCACACCTTATTTTCCTGTTATGGCTAAATTCCTTGAGAAGGTCATCTACAATAGGTACTTCCTTTTCTCAAACTCTATTTGTAACTCTCTAATTGGCTTTTGACCTCTCATTCAACTAAAACTGCCCTCTCCAAAGTTACCAATGATCTCTTAATTGCCAAATCCAATGGCCTTTTCTCAGTTCTCATACTTCTTGAGCTCTTTTCAGCATATGACACTGGGAAAGACCTAACCTTCAAAGGCCAAGGTCTCCCACTGAGTCCTGATCTATATCTTGCCACTGGACCCATATGTCTCTGGAGGAGAGAATGAGGCTGGTATCTTTGTACACCCTCCCTCACTGAATTCTTTTTCCCCTCAAACCCCCCCCTTATGAATTTATATAGGGAACTATAACTGTTGAGGGTATTATTATCTTTTCCTTCACTCAGGTTCACAACATCCCTAACTTCTCATTCTCTCACCCTACCCCACATATATTTTCTTGCCAAGACCTGTCAATTTTACCTTCATAACATATATGTGTGTATATGTATATGGGTAAGGCCTTTTGACTGAGTGCAAGTTTTACAGAACAATTCCTTTTATTAAGGGGATTTATTCTGTGAAGTTTGGATTCAGTCAAAGGGCTGAACTTGAGGACATAGAGGGCCATGTGGGGCCTCAAGTTCCCCACCCCTGAATATATGTTCTCTCCTCTGACACTGCCACCACGCTGGTGCAGGCCCTCATCACCTCATACCTAGACTATCACCATAGCCTGCTGGTGGGTCTGCCTACCTCAAGTCTCTCCCCCTCTACTCCATCTTCTACTCAGCTGTCAATCTTTCTAAAGTGAAGATCTGCCCAAGTCACCCACTCATTCAATAAACTCCAGTAGCTCCCTATCACCTCTAGGGTCAAATATAAAATCTGTTTGGCATTCAAAGCCCCTCACAATCTGGACCTCTCCTACCTTTCCAATCTTCTTATCCTTTACTCTCTACCATGTACGCTACAATCCAGTGCCCTGCTGGATTGTAGATTCAATCTCCTTGCTATTCTTTGCACAAGACATCTCCCAAGTCCAGGCATTTTCACTGGCTGTCCCCCATTCCTGGAATATTCTCCATCCTTATCTCCATCTCCTGGCTTCCCTGGCTTCTTTCAGGTCTCAGCTAAAATCCATCTTCTACTAGAAGCCTTTCCCAATCCTCCTGAGTGCTAGTGTTTTCCCTCTGTTGATTATTTCCAACTTATCCTGCCTATATCTTGTTTGTACATAGTTGTTTACATGTTATCTCCCCCCATTAGACTCCAGGATCCTGGAGAGCAGGAACTATTTTTTGTCTTTTTATAGTACCCAGCCCATAGCAGGCACTTAATATATGTTTATTGACTGACTGACTAACTACCTCTACCTCAATAAACAGATACAACTGCCATTGACTATTCTCTCTCTATCAGGTGGGGCATAAACTAGGGTTACAGAAGACAAAGGACAGGTAGCCATGTGACCAAAGCAGTCCTGGAGCCCATGAGATAGGCTTGGAGGAGGCTCATTCATTCAATAAACATTTAAAAGTGTACATAACACTGTGAAGGCACTAGGAGAAATATAAAGTTGAGATAAGACAGCATCCCTGACCCCATTGTGCTCACAATGAATGACTCAGACAGTATATAATATCATATGATAAATACATTAGAAAATTAAAGAAAGTATTTTGTGAGGTATGAGGGGAGAAAGTAATTTTGATAGTGATTGATTAGAAAAGTAGAGCAAGAAAAAAAAGTGACTATAGAAGGAAAGAACAAATGGAAGGAAAAGAGACACAGGGTCTGAAAAGGAGAGGGGTGTTGAAAGGAGAGTATTAGGTCACTCACCTGGGTCAGCCAGACATTGGTGGTCATGATCTGCTCCCGCTCATGCTAAAACAGAGGGAGCCCTTGATGAATATTCTAGCCCAACCTCTTCCATACCCCTCCCAAGTAAATACGCAATGCCTAAGGACCAAGTAGAGAAGACCTGCTAACTTCAAGTACCCGGGAGAACTCCCCAGAAAGGAGGCATATGTGAGGGCTGAATGCACACATATGTACAAATCACACCAATGGGTTGGATTTTATCAGGTGACAATCTATCCTCTTATCCTAGGGAATCCAGGAGCACAAAGGTGATCCTGAAGGGCCAAGATCGCTACTTCTAACTTACCACACTAATGAGCTGGGCTAGCGATACTGTAAGCTGCACAGTCACCAGCTCAGAGCCATTGGTGGCTGGTCGAATGAGCTTATTGTAGCGGGCAGGGTCCAGGAGATGTTCCACCAACCTTTCCTCTGTGTCCGTAGCCAGGAACCCTGGGATAGAGTGAGGGAAAGTGCCAAAAGGGGATAAGAGCTAGTTAAGTGTATTCACCCCATCAGGGCATTTTGGGACAACCTCCCCAACAGACAGGATGCCAAGGTAGGCGGAGCATGGCCTAAGGCCACAACTCTACCCTCCTCTCTCTTCCTGAGAAAAGCACCAAATGTATATGTGATTTTTAAAAAAACCACCTTACTTTTAGTATCTATAAGAAATAATGCAAATTTAATAAAATACTGTGTCATAATAGATATATGACCAGAATGTAAATGGTTAGTTTTTGAAGGCGGTAACATATATTTGTAAAAAATGACATAAAATTGTTCTACTTCTTTCATAATCAGAAAACTGCAAATTAAAACAACTTTGAGGTACTCCTTTACACCAAGTGAATTAATAAAAATAGTAAAAATAATAAGATTCAATGTTTGTAGAGCTGTGGAAACAGATATTTTATTATAGTATTGGTGGAATTATGAATTGATGCAGTCTCTTTGGAGAGCAATCTGGAAACTTACACTTATAAAACTGATTCTGTCCTTTGACCTACCAGTAGACTGTATCATAAGGATTTTTTTTTTGGTGGAGATGGGGGGTGGAGCAGGGTTGGACCTGTGATTTCATTCACATGGCAAACTCCCTCCCCCCATGCAGAATGGCAACCTGTCTATAACTCAGAGTCTTAGGGAACTACCTGGGGCACTAAAAGGTCAAGTGACTTTGCCCAGGGTCACATAGACAATGTGCTTCAGAAGCAGGACTTGAAAGCTGGTGTTTCTGACTTTAAGGTCTGCCCTCTATGTATTCTGCCAATGCTGCTTCTATGAATCCAACAATCTGAGTTCAGATCTCTGTTGAAAAAAGACCTATTGTAAATATATATGCATATGTATATATATAAATATATATACATATTTACTTGCAATAGCCAAAAAATATGGAACTAATGTATTCATGAAAAAGAACAGCTAAATAAATGGCAGTACATCTAATCATGAAGTGTGCCTCCCACCTCTTAGCAATGGACTGTATGTAAATGCAGAATGAGACATATTTTTCAGCTACAACCAATATAATACAAATTTCCTTTGCTTGACTATTCTTATATTATAAAGGAGGTCTTTAATTAGACAGGGGAGAGATGAGGAGAATGTAATGGGGCTAGTTCTAGTGATGCAAAAAAAAGAAAACAACAATAATGAAACATACTAAAAATACACAGAAGAGAGCAAGAGGAAGTTCAGAAGTGGACACAGATCAACAAAGCAATACTGGTAAATTTAATATAGATTTTAATTAAATTGAAGTTAATTAAAATTTTAATTTAATATTAATATAGATTTGTTTAAAACAAGCTACATGTAATAGAGTCACAGTTTCATATACAATCCTCATTCTTCTACCTTCCTATATGGAAATGTTCATGTTTGTTGATAATTTAATAGTTCATAATTTTTTTTTTGGCTTTTTGGTGAGGCAATCAGGGTTTAGTGACTTGCTCAGGGTCACACAGCTAATAAGTGTCAAGTGTCTGAGGCCAAATTTGAATTCAGATCCTCCTGACTCCAAGGTCAGACCTCTATCCCCTGTGCCAACTAGCTGCCTCCATTTTTTTAATAGTTCATAATTAAAAAAATTAAACATCATATCATCAAAAAATTATGGCATATCAATGCCACAGAATATATCATAATGGATTACCTGCACCTGGCATATAACAGGCATTTGATAAATGCCTTTTGATTGATTGATATGAGTCATAAAAATAAGAGGCAATGTGTTGTAATGGATAGCAGTGGAAGACCTGGCGTCAAATCCTGCCTCTGATGCTTGCTGGCCATGTAATCTTGAGCAAGTCACTTAACCTCTAGTGCCTCAGTCAACACCCTATGGCTATCAATTGCAGAGAAAGTATCACTTGACAATGGTAAAGAAAACACAGGTCTGTTTAGAAAAACAAAAAGCAAAACCAAAAAACAAACAAACAAAAAACACAGTCATTCAATCAAACAAATAAATAAATAATGGTAAATATCCTGACTGTCATATTTACTGGATGTGTGACTGTGGATAATTCACTTAACTTCTCATTGCCTCAGTTTCTTCATTTGTAAAATGGAGATAATATTTGTATAGTCTAGCTCATCAGGTTGTAATGAGCACATTACTTTGTAAGCTTAAAAGCACTATAGAAATATTATTATAAAGAAAAAAGAAACATGAAAGGACATACAAAGTGCTGTTAAGTGAAAAAAATAGGGTACCATACTATTGACAAGGATTATACTTTTTAAAAACAACAAAACTTTATACATATGAAGATGGAAAAGCGATTGGAAGAGGAGGCAGGCTAAATAAGTTGTTAATGTTTTTTACATATTGTATTTTTCTTTTATCAAAATGTAAGTTATTTGTTGTGATTCTAATTCAAATTTTTGTTTATTTGTATTTTTGAGAATTATTATTAAGTACATAACAAAGAAAAAATTTAACATGTAGGAAAATCCACAGAAGACAACATACTGAGACTCATCCTCCAAAAAAAGGAGTCCCTGTATTAAGCGACACAAAAGAGTGTCTCTCAGACTGGAAGACCCCATGGCAGGGTCTATTCCTTGAGGAACAGTGTAAATCTTCCCTCATTCTCCTCAAAGGGTGGAATCAGAGCTTGGAACATGTGACTGAGATTTCCCTTTCCTCTGTGTTTTGAAGAAGTCACTCACAACTTCTTGGGCATGAGAGTAAAAAGCAGATTATCACATCTTTCTCACTTTCTGTCCCTTAGAACCCAGCTATTTGTACAGATAACATACGTGTCTGTATGTATGTCTTCTATATCTGTGTGGTCAATATTAAGTATAGATTATCTAGGTTTACCAATTGTGTATCTGTCTATGTCTTTGTGTGTGTGTGTGCCGTGGTACCTTGGTGTCTTCTCTGTATCTGGTCACATGCTTAACATATTCAGGAGGACCTTCTCATTCTAGATTCAGACATTTCTTGGGGACACACATACAATACAAGATTGTATGTTCTCATATCTACCATCTATACACTCTTAGTTACCACATTTTCTTCTCTGACTAAATGCACCTTCAGCCATATACTAACATTAACCCTCAGAATCCCTGCTCCTCCACCTCCCCCCCAAGTGCCTGCTCACTTTCACTGGTATAACAGAATCACACATAGGTGCTTATTTGTTTCGGTACACTCAGCACACTGAGATACAGCAATGTTTCTCACCCCTTTCCCACATCCCCACCCTTTCTCCTCTTCCATCTCCCACCTCTAAGAGGGTGGAGATCCCCTCCCTTCTTCCTCTCATCTCTGTATGGTGACCCAATTTGAGAGCTGCCTGTGAGGTTGAAATAACTAGTCAAATCATATCAGGTACAGGATTCCTTCCCCTCTCCCTAAATCTCAGGTTCCTCTCCTGTGAGGAGCCCTTCCCTTGCTTGTCTACCCCCCACCTTTCCCGCCCCCCATTCTTCTTCCACCCTTCCCCTCCCCCCCCCACCCATGGTCTTAATCACAAAATATTACATTTGGAAGAGAGCTTCGAGATTATACCCCACCTCATTTTTGCTCTTGAGACGTCTCTCTCCTCACCCGCTCCTGTCCCCTACATTCCCTGGGGCCCCTCCCCTTCCCCAAGTCTCCCCCAGTTCGCCGGAATCCGGGTCCTCCCAAAAGCATACTGCTCTTTCTCCACTCCTGCTCCCTCTGATGTCTCTGGCCGGTTCAGCGTCCTTACCTGGAAACAGCCCGAAGAGGCCAAGGCTGAGAAGCAGCGCCATGGGGAGCGGGAGCCCGGGCATCCCGCCCGCATAGCTTACCTTGCTCCCCCTAGGCTAGCTCGCTGCTCCGCAACCCGCAGGGGACTGCGGGGGTGGGGCGGTGCGCTGTCCGCGGTACTAAAGCCCGGGAGCTGTCCGTGGTGTCGGAACCAGGTTGGGGGGGGCTGGAGCTGGAGATCGAGATGGAGAAGATGGAGATGAAGCAAGAGTCTCTTCGGGTTACTGCAGCTGTTGTCTCGTTTACTGCTCTCTGTGACTGATGCTCCTGCAGCCCCTACAGATCCGGGGGCGCAGGGGGCGGGGCTGGGGGGGGGGAGGGTTCGGGGGGGGGGGCCAGAACCTAGCTTATCTCAGCCTAGATGTTCCCTGGGGGGATCCTAGCCTCTATCAGAGGAGCTTCCCACTGTCTGGTTACCAGAGTGATAGGATGGGGTGAGCTAAAATCGTTTCCTTCACTCCAGATAAGGGAGGGTTCTCTGCCACTGAAGTGGAGCCACCAACACTGCTAATCCCGGGACTCCTATCCAGGAAAGTGGGTCTTTCCTGGGCCCTGGTGTAAATCTGCTCTGCTCTGATGCGTGAGGGGGAAGGGGAAGGAGGAGTTCGGATGCTATGGGGGTTGAGCAGAATTCTCCTCCCTACTTCTGATGTTGCCTGCCCAACCTTTCGGGAAAGTCTGTTGGAGGACGGAGGTGGGGGGGGGGGTACGGGGACAGGAAGCAGTGCTAACGAATCCAAGTAGGTCAGACATGGTTTTTAAAAATGTGGTGATAGTAGTTAAATTAGAGGAATGAGCAAAGGGAGAGAGGTGAAAAACAGGGAGAGAGAGACAAATGAAGAAAGGGAAGGTATGGAAACCTTCACCAAAACCAGTCCTGCTGTTTGGGACTCCTTGGCTGGAGGGGACCAGAAAGAAAGTGATTCTTACTTTCACTTAATGGAGGAGACAGTGCTTCTCACAACCATCCAGAGCTAATGAGTCACCATTGAAAAGTGGTTTTCAGAATAATACTGGGAGTCTTATCCCAACACCTATCTTCCACCCCAACCCCAGCACTGCCCCACTTTGCTTTTAATAGGAAGGGGAAAGGGAAGGAAATGGAGTTTGTCCTCCTGGTCTTCAACTATGACCTACTCCTTCATCTCTCTACTTCATAACCAATCCTTGACCTGGTTGTTGCCTAGCTCTAACAGTATGAAGAAGGAAAATCAAGTTAGATCATGAAGATGAAATCAAAAGGTAGAAAAAATAGAGGGATTTGTCATCTTAGATTCATATTTCCATTAGTTTAGCACTTCTAATGTACCTAAGGAACTTGGGGAAGGAGATTAGGTCTTAACTGGGAGAATGGGGCCTTCACGGAGATGTAGGAGCTGAGGTAGCTGCAATATGGGTAGATTCAGTGAAGAGGGAGCAGGATAATAAGAATAATTATCATTACTTCCATCTCTTATATTTATATAGCTGTAAAGCCTACTAAGCACTTTATCTCAATTGAACCTCACAATAAGTCTATGAAGCATGCATTTTATCCCCATTTTACAGTTGAAGAAACTAAAGTTCACAGAAGCGAATTTGCTCAAGTTCAAACAGCTAGTAAGGGAAGAGCTAAGATTTGAATCCTACTTTTCCTATGCCAGGATGAGCAGCCATTTTCTCCTCTCCACCTCTGACTTCCTCCAGGTGAAGACTGGACTGGAGAAAGAAATGACTAGGAGACACCTCTCTCCTTCCTCTGACCAGAGGGGAATGAACTACACCAGGGGTGGGGAACCTGCATCCTCAAGGCCATATGTGGCCCTCTAGGTCCTCAAGTGTAGCCCTTTGATGGAATCCAAACTTCACAGAACAAATCTCCTTAATAAATTTTTGTTCTGTAAAACTTGGACTCAGTCAAAAGGCAGTACCAGAGGACCTAGAAGGCCACACGTGACCTCGAGAGCAAAGGTTCCCCACCTCAGAACTACACTATTGGACATTCATTAGCCAAAGAAAAGTCATTAGGGAAGCTGTAGCTTGATTCACTCACCCAGATCCTGATAGGATCTACAAGACTGCCAGCCATAAAAACAGAACTGGTGAGGAAGGACTGCCAGTCATAAAAACAGAGCTGGTGAGGAAGGAAAGAATCAAGTTTTGAGGCAAGGTGGGAAAAGGTCTTGAAAATGTCCCAGAACTCTGTATATATTCTTAAGGGCCACAGAGTAAGGCTATGATTGCAAGGAGGGGTTGGGGTAGGGTATTAGAAGGCTAAACCTAAAAGCTGGGCACTTAAGTATAGGCAGTTTTTTTCTCCTCCATGATTCAATTAAATTTTAAAATACTCAAATGGATCTGTGATCTCAAGAATATAGTCATCCTCTACAACGATCAAATCATAAACCATACTTGCCCATTCTGTGCTACTCTTTTCTGTGTCTCTCACAAGGGGTCCACAACTATGCTGAAGAGCCCGTTTCAATTTTTTTTTACGTCACAGAGATACCAATATAGCTGTCAGCGTTATCCCTTACTCTTGCCGTATGACTACACCTTTTTCCACTCGTGCAATTTTTGATAACAACCTTTATGCTACTTCTCCTTGGTAATTAGTTTAGAATCATAGTTAGAGCTAGAAGGAACTTTAGAGGTAATTTACTTCAACCCCCTAATTTTACAGATAAGATTAAGTGTCTTAGCCATATGTCATACAGGTAGTACTTAGTAGAACTGGGACATACAGTGATCCCACTAACTCCAAATCTAGTGTCCTTTCCACTGAACACACTCCTTCATTTGTAATGTGTTGAAGACTGCTCATACCTATTATGTGCCCCTCCAATGATCTTTGGCCAATCTCATTTTTAATTCTTTGGTTTGATTAACATTTGGAAATGTCTCCAAATCCCTGGAGTTGGATGTGATAGGAAGAACCTAAGTGTTGTAGGAATTGTGGGGGAGAGGAATGCAGTGATAGCATGGGTTCTGGAATACAAAGGCAGGGTCCCAGTATATAAAAAGTGTGTGTATGTCTAGACATGTTTGCACAGGCTAATATTCCTGTGCAGATGTGTATATCTTAGAAAACCTAGCCATGAAAAAGGATGAAGAATTAAAGCTTTAAGACAAAGTGGAAATCTGTAATGTCCAGCCTGGAGAAAAGAATACTGGGGTAATCCATGGAAACAAGACTGAGTAAAAGTCTTCCAATGGATGAAGAAACAAAGGGTGGTAATCTACTGTCTTTTGAGATAAAGAGGGAATAGATATTTATATAGTACTATATACTCTTCAGAACACTTCCATATAACTTACCTCAAGTTTGTTACAACAGAAAGAATGAAGTTCCTGATTGGAATCACAGAACTATACAATCTGAGAGCGGAAAGGGATTCCAGAGGTCATTTTGTTCAATCTGTAAATATAAGCAGGAATTCTCTCTATACCATCCTAACAAATGGTAATCAAACCTCTACTTGAAAATCTCCAGTGACAGGGAACTGATGACATCCTGGGGCAATACATTCTACTTTGGCACTAGCTTTAATTGCTAAGATTTTCCTCACAGACAGCAGAAATATGAGTCCCTGTGACTTGTACTCATTACTCCTAGGCTTGTCATCTGGCTAGAACAAGACTAACCTCTATTCCACATTATAACTTTTCAAATATTAAGAAAATTATAATGCTTCCTACCCTAACCTCTCATCATTTCCCCAAACTAAACATACTCATTCCCTTAAACTTATCTTCTTATGGCCTGGGGTTATGAGATCCTAAAATAATTACATTCCTCATGTAATGAACTCTTTTTACTAAAAACCATGAGATGCTACTTTCATTTGTTTTGAGTAAATAAGGAGGCATATGTTTATTTAAGGTCATTGTTCAAAGTTTTGTTTGTCACATGGGTTTGTTAGATAGATGACAGATAGATGATAGAGCATTTATTGAGTGCCTACTGTATGGTACATACTGGGGATGTGAATAAAAGCAAACAAAACAGTCCCTATCCTCAACCAGCTTACGTTTTCATGGAGGAAGGTAACATATATAGGGGAGGAGGCTGGGGGAAAAGGAGGAAACCTGATTGGGAGAGGGAGGAAGGTAAAGTGGCTGGTCAAGAGAAGGAGGGAGCCGGGAGAGTCTTGGCATAACTGAGTCAAAAATGTTTCTATCTTAAACTGAATCCCCACATTGGGAAGTGGGCCTCAACAATACCATGGAAATACCTAGTCCTGAGTAACTTGCAGATGGGTGCTGACTCAAGCCCTTTGATGGTAGTTATTCCAGTTATCTCTCAGCTTTCTCTTCTCCAGGACAAAGTTATCCCAGATTGTTTGCCTTTTCTTTCTAGATCTCATTTCTCAGCTCTGTCATGAGAGGAAGTGAGACCTTTCCTTCAACAAATCCCTCCTCCTCATCTCCCAAATCTCTACTCTTTCCTGCTCTCTTTCCAGGCAAAGAGAGAAGATGGGCAAGTACAAGTGGATAATGATTCAGAGGCATGAGCATTCTGGGCACAGAGATGGAAAAGAGGGTTAGCTGAAAGTGAAAGCAGTCCCCTTAAATCAAAATGACCAGAGGCAGTGCAGTGTGGTTTGATGAGAATGCTGCACCTGAATTCCAAGAGCCCCAAATTTAAAGCCTGTCTCTGCCAACTAAAAACAGCTATATAACTCCAGGCAAATCTCTATGCTTCATTTTTCTCCCCTGTAAATTTGGGGTTATTTAACAATACCTAATTTACAGGATTGTTGTGAAGATTAGATAGTGCACAAGAAAGGTTTTGCAAACTTTTAAATATATGTTATTTTACTTGCAACACTTTAATTTATGAGTCAAAATGTGAACTGTTTACCTTTTTGCTTCTCGTACCTGTACTTTCTCACTCCTTTTCTCCTATGTCTTTCCAGTTGTTTGTTTTTTTTTCCCCTTATATCACACTATCAAGTCTCACCTCCTTAGCAGATCGTAAGTTTCTTGAGGGCTGGCACTTTTTCATCTTTGCATGGAGCACCTTATACACAGTAGGTGCTTAATGTTCAGTTTCATAGTTTCTAATAAGTCACCTCATTTTATAGATGAGGAAATTGAGACCTGAAGTGACTTACTCAGTCAGTCACACAGGAATATAGTCATAGACCCAGGACTAAGTCTCGTTTCCTCACACCCAGTCCAATTCTATTTTTTTCTTTAAAGTTTTTTTCTTCAATTGACAAGAATTTAATCTCTCTGTCTTTCTCCCACCTACCCTCCCCATCCCACCCCCATTCCAAATCACTGTCCCCTGCACCATGCTGGCATGAAGACGAAAGTACTAAATTGTTAATACTATTCCTCTCCTCATTTCTTTGTATTTACTTCGAATAATTTTGCTTTTACATATGTATTGTTTACCTACAGTAAAATTTAAGCTCCTTGATGGCAGGCATTTTTGTGTGAGTGTGTGTCTTTGTATCACCAGCTCCGAGAACTGTGCCTGGCACGTAGTAGGCTCTTAATTAGTGTGTGTCGAATTTAATTTAATAGGCAGTCCTGTAGGGAAGGATGGGTGGGGGCAGGGATTTAGTTCGGGTGTCTACCTTCATTCCGCACGCATTGATTACTATGTGCTAGGCACTGTGCAATGTGCCAGGGCCCGGTCTAGCCCCCCAAAGGAGAAGCCCTAGGACAATCGCTAGGCTTATTCCACCAATCAGAACGGTCTTTCCCCGCTGCTTCGGGGCCACCTGCTGTCGTTTCACCGCCACCTGCTGTCGTTTCACCGCGGCCCAGCCACGAGCTTTGTCTTTCGCAATGGCGACACCTAGTGAATGGCCGGTGATGCTGCCACCTAATCACAGCCCTCCTAGAGGACTAGTATGCCTCTTGAGGACCTGATGGCGTTTGCCACCTGACCTCAGGTCAGGGGATGTGATGTGGATGGGTGATTCTTGGGTCTGATGCCTTCCACCTTCTTGCACACGCTGGGTTGGAGAAGAAGGTCAGCATCCCCTGGCCTTCGGCAACCATAAGAAAAACAAAGTTCCTGCCCCTTCTCCCCTCCCCAATCCCTTCAAAAATAAACTCCATAGGGACTAGAATTGAGGTGGAGGCAGAAGGCTGGGTGGGGGGGCGTTCTAAGCCCTGGTGGGGAGGGAGAGGAGTGTAAGTCCGATGCAAAGAGGTCGAGATCCAAATGGCTGCCACCAGAAGGGCAGGGGGAGGGATGGGGAGAAGAACGGGAAGGGGGTTGGGGACATGGAAAGTAAAGAATCGCAAGCCGCGATTACAGCCCCAGACTGCGCCCAGCCCAGCAATCGAGTCGCTGCGGGGCAGAGGAAGGACAAGGCTGAAGGTGGGGGAAGGGGAGCGGGGGCAAGAGAGCCTCGCGCACGCCGCCCCCAGTGAGCACGCGGCGGCTCGGTCACGTGACAGGGGAGGTCGAGGATCTGGACCGAATGCGTGGCCCGGAAAAGCCCCGTCTGGTCACATGCAGGGGGTGGGGTGGCAGGAAAGGGGATCCAGGAGGAGAAGGAGGCGGAGGTAGATGCTGCGACAGGAATCACGTGAGAGGGGCCGGGTGAACGCACCTGGTCATGTGACAGGGGAGAGGCGAACGGGGGGCGGGGAGGAGGACCAGAGGAGGCGGGGCACGCGGCTTCCGGCGGCGGGAGGGGGGGATGGGGGGGCCTGTCCCGGAGGTGGCGGCGGCGCCATCTTGGCGAAGGGGGGATCAGGAAGTGCGGACCGCGGCGGCGGCGGCGGCGGCGGCGGAGCCCGGAGCGGAGGCCGGAGGCGCCCGGCCCGCCGGCCCCGGAGCGGAGCGGACGATGCAGCAGCCGCAGCCGCAGGGGCAGCAGCAGCAGCCGGGGCCGGGGCAGCAGCTAGGGGCGCTGGGGCAGGGGCTGGCGCTGGGGCAGGGGCAGGGGGCGGCGCCGGGGGCCGGGGGCGGCCCGGGGGGGGGCCCGGGCCCGGGGCCCTGCCTGAGGCGGGAGCTGAAGCTGCTCGAGTCCATCTTCCATCGCGGCCACGAGCGCTTCCGCATTGCCAGCGCCTGCCTGGACGAGCTGAGCTGCGAGTTCCTGCTGGCCGGGGCCGGGGCCGGGGCCGGGGCCGGGGCGGCGGGGGCGGCGCCCGGGCCGCACCTCCCCCCGCGGGGCTCCGCGCCCGGGGAGCCCGTCCGCATCCACTGCAACATCACGGTGAGGACCCCCGTGGGGCGGGCCCGGCCCCCCTCCCCCTTCCCGGGGTCCTCGTCCTCTGGGCCCCCGCCAGGCCCAAGAGCCGCCCCCACCGGTGGGGCGCCCCCACGTGGGGTCTCCCTGCTCCTTGTCACAGCCCACTCAATTTGCTACCCGGGAATCCGACGTGGTCCTCTCCTTAGCCCTCCCCAAAGTCCCACCCCACTGCCTCCTCCATCACTTGGGGCCGCCTCCTAAGAACCTAGACCCCTCGAGAAACACTGCAAGAAGACCCCCCCTCCCAATTTCTGGAACTATCCCTTCTTCAGTCTCCCCCCAAATACCAGAGGCACTTCTTGCACGCTTCTGAGACACTCCCCTCTCCCCTTCTCAGCAACTCCTTCGGGAATCTAGGCTTAGGTGCTGTGGGGAGTCAGTGATGATGATAATAACAATTACTGACTTTTCTGTAGCACTTTAAAGTTGAGCACAGAACCCTCGAATAGCAGCATCTCTTTGGACTCTTGACTTCTTCCAAGCCAGGGCTTTCAGAGACCCTCAGTTCGTTGAGCCTTCAATCCACACCCCTCCACCCCACCCCCACACACATCTTCTGGTACAACCTCTAGTTAATCTCTTCCTGCCCCTGTTAGTGGGAGATTTGAAGCTTCCTTTACTCCCCAAGGATATGAGGGTACAGTTGCATTTTCTACCCCTTTTGATGATGAACTTCCCTATTCCACCCCAGTCATCTTGTCTTATCTACTGTAGTATTGTTACATCCATCTTAGTAATTCAGTCTGGTTATAGAAATCTCACAGTTAACTCTGCCACCCCAAACGAACTTGTTCTTTTCTCCCAATGGCCTACTTCTTGCCCCATTCCCAGGATATCTGTCTGTTCCCTCCTTTCCTAGTCACTAATAGCTTTGATAATTTCCCATTCCACATGGTCACTGTACTTTAACATGTTTGAGATTACCTAGCCTTCTATCAGTGTTTTGCCCCCCTCACAGGCCAGGGAGGTGAAATCTTTGCTAATTCAGGCTGGATGCTGGTGGGTGCAGCCTAGAGTGAGCAGATAGTTTTGTTTGGGAGCACTGAGGGGATGAGATCCAACTTCAGATCAGCTTGGACATTGTCCCCAGCCAGCTTCCAAAGCACATTTTACCTACTAGGCCAAAGTTCTGGGAGGAAAGTTTCTGTTTGGACAAAAGGGATTCCCCTCTTCTTCCATCTTCTGACTTTGCCTTCAGACACACCTCTTCTTCACAGAAAATTGGGGTAAGGAGAAAAAAGTGGTTTAGTCAGATGTGATAATAGTATCTCTCTGACAATCTTCCTCCAAAATTGAGGCGTTTGAGCTAGGTAAGGGATGGGAATCCCATCAAAAGTGCGTGATTTACTTGGTATTGTGTTGCCTAACTGACTATTGCTAGATTAAACCCCAAATTTCTCAGATATAGAATTACCCTCCCCATGCTTCTTTTTTGTGTTCAGTTATATGCTGTCTGTCCTGCCTATGTCTGAGGCAGTAGGTTAGCTCCAGAGAGCCCCAGGTAGTCTTCCCCTTTCTGTGGGATAAGGGAGAAAGGAGTCTGGATTCTCAACCAACCCCTCTCTGGGAAATAGGGGGAACTTGGGCTGTCTGCATCCACTGTTGTGGTTTAGGAATGCTGGGAATGTCAGCAGCGTAGGTTCTCTTCTCCTAAATCAGTTGTGTAGAGCCCTGTGACCTCTTGCCTCCATCCCACGCTTAGACTGTGAGGGTGGCAGGTTAACAGGGTTACCAGAGAAAAGATGGGCAAAACTGGTCTCCAGTCAGTGTTGGAAAGAGGGGTTCCCTTATACTACCGCTTTATTCTATCACCCTTTGGCTGAATGCTGGGAATAATAATTTGGCCCCAGATAAAAACCTTATTTGTTGCAAGTCTTCCCCCTCCTAAAACTAAAGTAAGCTGTTGCTTTTTTCTGTTCTGATTGTATTTATGGTCCTTCCATAACTCTGGGTTCCATCGTTTTGGGAGGAAAGGGGACTGGAGTCTTGTTCTATAAATATAGGGGGATTGCCTTAGCCTAGACCTCTGTGTAGGGAATAGAACAGTTTCTGGGGTCTCACTGGAAGTAGTTGTGATCCCCTTCCTTAATTTTTCAGTGACCGGGAATAGAGGAAAAGGGGCTCTGGTCTTCAAGCTTCCATTCAGAGAAGGGCCCTCCCAAATCCGCCTGGTTGGGCACTGATCTGCTGAGCCAGGCATTTGTGAGAGAGATGGGGGGGGAAGGGCAGACTGGCACCTGGGAATGGGTGGGCAGGCAGAATCTGAAGTTTCCATTTTTGACCTCCCTGTCCTCTCCCCTTAGGAATCTTATCCTGCGGTGCCCCCAATCTGGTCTGTGGAGTCTGATGACCCTAACTTGGCTGCCGTTCTGGAGAGACTTGTGGACATAAAGAAAGGGAATACTCTGGTGAGGAGGGCAGGGACTTGGGGCCTGAGCCAAGAAGAGAACCTGCAGTCGAGACAGATGAAGGGTGGGAATTGTCCTAAATTTAGACGACACTGTAAAATAACAGGCCTGAATAAGACTCAGTAGGGAAGCCACCTTCCCCTAGCTAGAGGGAGAATACGTCATCAGCCCCATGCTGGGGCTTTCTAACAGAATCACTCCCATGGCCAGGTTTCCAATATGACCCAGGGTCCATGTCCCTTGGAGAAATGGATACTACTCAGCCTTCATCTTGGGTCTGAGTCCTTGGTTTCTCCCACTGCACCTGGCCAGATTGGGGAGAGGCAAGAGTATCTTATGTCACTGTGGTCTACTGTCCCCAGCTGTTGCAGCATCTGAAGAGGATCATCTCTGATTTGTGCAAACTGTACAACCTCCCTCAGCATCCAGATGTTGAGATGCTGGACCAGCCCCTGCCAGCAGAGCAGGTGAGTAACTCAGGGGGCTTTTTTCCCTCTGGCAAGTCTATTCTATTCCCATCTCAGTCATAACCCTAAGATAGATAGGAGTGTGGCTCACTTATCTAGGGATGCCCTCCACATGGGGGTTTCCTAGGGTTAGGGGAAGCTAGAGACCTAAACTTCTACAGGATCACAGGTGTAGCATCAGTCAGGGAGGCCAAAGTAAATAAATACTATTCTTTGGGAAATTGAATTGTAGTTCCTTGCTCCATGAATGATAAAGAGATGATCAAGAGTAATGAGCAGGCTGGTAAATTAGTTGTTCCAGCACACTGTAGACTGGGTGAATGTCTAGGCTGGCAGTTTTAGAATCCCAGCCCTGAGCATTCCGAGTAGTCAGAGGAGAGGATGTGTTTAGGGAACCCAGTCCTTCTACTCTTGGAACATTGGCTCTGACCTCCATCTTTTCCCTATGCACTGCAGTGCACACAAGAAGATGTTTCTTCAGAAGATGAAGATGAAGAGATGCCTGAGGTAGGTGACAGAACTGGGTTAGGAGGGGTGGGTGGTAACAGTAATTTTGGTAAGTTAAAGGTCATCTGTATGGGACACTCCTGTTTATAGAGTCCTGTAGAGAGGACACCAAAGGAAAAAAGGTGGGGTCATTCATTGGGGGCGGGGGAGGACTGAGACACATGAATGTGAAGTAACTGAAGACTCTCAAGAAACAGCACAGCATCCAATGGTAAATCTAGTTCCAGCTGAATACCTGAGTATTGGTGTGGTTGGAGTTGGACAAGGTTAATCAGGGCATATGGTCCTTGGCTGGAATATCAGGCCAATAGAGGGGAAAGTCAAACTGGACTTAAGGGAAAAGGGACTCACAACTGCTTCTTAGGGGTGGATTCATGTCCTAGGTTCTCTGCCCTTCCCCAATTACAGTACCTTGAGTCTGTAAGTATTAGGTAGGTTAATAACTCAAAATTCATCTCAAACTTTTTTATTAAATGCCTATTCTATGCAAGGCACTATATTAAGTGCTAAAAATGCAAGAATAAACAAGGCACGAGATGGCCTCTGTCTACTCCTCTTGGGTGGTAGGGTCAGTCAAGCTGATGGAGGGCTGTGAGGATTATATGACACTCTTAAGACACCGTATAAATATCAGTCATTGTCATGGTGTTTTGGTCCAGACCTGTGATTCAGATGGGTAATCGTATGTTACTTTTGATCTTTACACGAAGTTGGCAGCAAGATTAAATGACTTGCCCATGGTCACATGGCCAGTATGTGTCAGAAGTGGGACTTGGGAACCTAAGTCTTGCTGATCCTCTGTGTGCTGCATCACACTGACTGATGAAAGCATGGGTTGGGACCAAACCAAATCATTATGTTGTTATGGAGTCTGCTGGGTGGAGTGGGGAGAATGGGAGGATCTGAAGCCTGTTCTCTTTTCCCCCAACCCACCCACCAGCCTGGTAAGAGTTTACCAAGTAAAATGTTTAGCTTGCATGTCAATCTTGGGGAAGACAAAACCATACAGATGGGTAATAGCGGGGAATCCAAATCCCCTCTTGTTTGGTCCTCATCATAGAGGAAAGAGAAAGGTCAGGGAAATGAGTCTCTGGCTTTTGTTGCAGTTTTTTCAGGTCTATCAAATGCTCACTTGAGCCATGCTTTATATGAACTTGGTGAAAAGAGGGACACATCCCCTTTAGGATAGTAAAGAGTCAGGGGGATCAGATGGCTTGAACGTGGAGTTTAGTCTGTGGGCTATTGGCTGCCTAGCTCACATCTTCACTGCATATGGGGCTGGGGAGATGGCTGACTGCTCCCTTCCCCCCACCAAAAGAATTCTTTTGTTTGTTCCGTTTCTCAAGGATACAGAGGACCTCGATCACTATGAAATGAAAGAAGAAGAGCCAGCTGAGGGGAAAAGGTCCGAGGATGATGGCATTGGGAAGGAGAACTTGGCCATATTAGAGAAAATTAAAAAGAACCAGAGGCAAGATTACTTAAATGTACGTGTCCCCTGGGGGCGGGGGGTGGGCAAGGGTCCTGGATCAGGGTGGGTTTCTCCCACTGGTATTGTCATCATGGCTGTGCCAGGCTTAGAAGGCCTAGAATGGGATATTGACTCTTGAAATGTAGGAGGAAAGAATTAGTGCTTCCATCCTTAGGCAATTGCCAGGTATCCTCTAAAGTCCACGGTGTATCCCCTGAGTCCTGTAATGGTGGGAGGTTCCTATTGTCCCCTCCCCTGCAGGGCGCAGTGTCTGGCTCGGTGCAGGCCACTGACCGGCTGATGAAGGAGCTCAGGGATATTTACAGATCACAAAGTTTCAAAGGCGGTAAGTCCAGCTTTGGAGAGGGGGTACTTTGGAACATTGGTTATTGAGGAAGAAGGGGTGGGAAGCAGGGGCTTTAGTGCTGGGGTGGGGGGGTCCTGAAGCTACTCAGTGGGAACCTAGGTTTTTGTGAAGCTTAGGACCTGAAGATAGAGCCCCTAGAAGTGAGTGAGGATGTTAGACCAGTGCTGAGCCCTTACCACTTTGCTTTGGTCTTTTAGCCTGAGGAGGGGAAGGGTCCTCCTTCCTGTTGTCCTAGTAATACTCATTTCTTCTTCCTGTCCTACCCCCAACCCCCAGGAAACTATGCAGTCGAACTAGTAAATGATAGCCTGTACGATTGGAACGTCAAACTCCTCAAGTAAGTGAAAAGCTGGGGGCTGGGGAGCAGAGGGGTGGCGATTAGTAGAAGCCTCCAGAGCAGCCTTATTTAATTGTCATCAGCAGAGCCCAGGGGCTTAGGGAGGGGGAAGGCCAGGACAGGGAACAAAGTTGTCTGTGGCCTGGAATTGACATCAAGTCAATGCTAGCTTGAGCCCTAGATTGGGCATGGTGGTGGGCTGGAGGCCTTCTGAAGCTCTTGGGGACCAAGCAAGAGCCTGTTACCCTCCTTTGTAGGGTTGACCAGGACAGCGCTTTGCACAACGATCTCCAGATCCTCAAAGAGAAAGAAGGGGCTGACTTCATTCTCCTCAACTTTTCTTTTAAAGTAAGGCTGTTCTCATTTCACATCCCCCATTTTCCTGGCCTGTATCTCTGCTTGTCTACCCTATATTCTCTGTGGGGAGGTGAGGTGGGATGGGGTGACCATGTTTGGCACACAGTAGCCACTTAATGGATGCTCGTTAATTGATAGATTAACTACTCACGCTTGGGTTTCTGACTTGGGTTTCTCTTCCTCTTAGGACAACTTTCCCTTTGACCCGCCATTTGTCAGGGTTGTCTCTCCAGTCCTCTCAGGAGGGTGAGTAGATGGAAAAACAAGAGATGCCCTGTGGAAAGGTGGGGATAGAGCCTGTGCCATGCACAGTTGACCAGTCTTTTCCTCTGCAGGTATGTCCTGGGTGGAGGTGCCATTTGCATGGAACTTCTCACCAAACAGGTGAGCTTGTTGCCTTGTCTCAGCTGCATTGGGCTGGGGATTTTCCCAAATACATCCCCAGGTGGAGTTTTTATAAGTTATCACTGTCATAGATGGCAAGGATAGCACCCGGTGCCCACCCTTCCTGGATGGTTTGGGAATGCCTGTATTGTGGGTGAAGTCTGGGGAACTCATTTGTGATGTCTTATTGTCCCCAAGACTGGAGGAATCCATGTCTTGACCTGTTCTATCATTTCCCCCTCCCCTTCCCCGTTCTTTTCACAGGGCTGGAGCAGTGCCTACTCCATAGAGTCCGTGATCATGCAGATCAGTGCCACCCTGGTGAAAGGGAAAGCACGAGTACAGTTTGGAGCCAACAAAGTAAGGACAGGGTAGGGGTAGGTGTGGAGAGGTGTCGGGGAGGCAGGCAGAGAAAGGGTGTGGTGCCAGCTGGCAGAACACCTCCACTGGTCTTCTCTTTAGGCCCAAGGAGGGTAGAAGCCGTCATTGTCCATAGTGTTAGTTGGGAGGGAAAGGGGAGCCCTGAGATATCCGCACTGGGGAGCCAAAGTGGTGGCCTTAAGAATTAAGAAGGAAAAAGAGGTTGAATACTGTTAAAGAATGTAGAAAGAAGAGTATAGTGTCTTACAGCCAACCAGATAACCATCTGTCCCCGCTCCTTAGTACAGTACCTGGCATATAGCAAGTGTAAATGCATATTGATGGCTTGTTTGCTTTATACTTTGGGTTATTGGGTAGAATAAGAAGCTAGGAGCCAGATAGGCAGGCAGTAGCCTTCTCCATTTGTATTCCTGAAGCTCTTGTCCTCAGAGCTGCTGGAACAAGTCATACTATCACGTATCCTGGGTCTGCTACTAAATCCAATCTCAATAGGGCTCTCACTGCTGTGCAGAAATCTTTTAATTCTTCTCAAAGTAACCTTTACATTCCTGCAGTGGTAGTTTCAAATCTTACTTCCTCTGAAGCCACTGCTACCACCCCAACTCCCAGTTTCTCAGCAGGTGACTTCTGCTCCTCCTTTACTAAGAAAGTCACGGCCCTTTTTCATGATCTCCTTTAGCTTCTCATTCCCTCAGAATCACTCAGTATCTTCACTCATCCTTACCTCTTTTGTTCCCAATCTGTTAAAAAAGGCCCTTCTGGGGCAGTTAGGTGACATAGAGGATAGAGCTCCAGCCTTGGAGTCAGGAGGACCTGAGTTCATATCTGGTCTCAGAGACTTGATACTTAGTAGCTGTGTGACCCTGGGCAAGTCACTTAACCCCAATGTCTCACCAAAAAAAGAAAATAGTTTTTGCTAAGAATAATCCTTCTACTTACATTCTTGATCCCATTGCCTCCTATCTCTTCCAGGAGCTTGCCCCATTGATCATCACTTCTCTTCATTTTAATTTTCTCCCAGTAACTGGTTTCTTCCCCACTGCCTACTTCAGTCTCAGACCTCAGGTCTTAAAACAATTTCTCAACCCTTCCATTCCCCCAAACCCTTATCTCTTCTTTTTCACTGCCAAACCCTTCCAAAAAAGGTTCCTGCCCTCTTTGCTTCTAAATCCTTTCCACCCACTCACATTTCCACCTCTTGTAATCTGTCTTCCAACCTCACTAGACTACAAACTATTCTTTCAAAGGTTAATAATGATCTCTTTAGTCTTGAACCCAGTGGCCTTTCTCAAGATCAGATGAGATAATTTATTTTAAACACTTTGCAAAGCCTAAAACATGATACGATGTAAGATACTATTTCCTTAGTCTTCATCCTCTCTGACCTCTGCAGTTTTGACTGTTATCACCCCCATTATCCTAGATGTGTTTATGGTTTTACAACCAGAAGGAGTATTAGAGGTCACCTAGTCTGATGGCCTCACTCTCCAAATGACAAACCGAGGCCCAGAGAGTGGTTTGCCCAAGGTCACATAGGGAGAAGCTGAACCAGGACTGAAACACAGGTCCTCTGACTCCAGCCCTGGTGCTCTTTTGGGGGGGGGGGGCCATTTGGGGTTAAGTGACTTGCCCAGAGTCACACAGCTAGTGAGTGTCAAGTGTCTGAGGTCGGATTTGAACTCAGGTCCTCCCGACTCCAGAGCTGGTGCTCTATCCACTGCACCACCTAGCTGCCCCTCTGGTGCTCTTTTCCCTGCACTCTACTGCCTTGGCTTCTGTCAGTCACCATGCCTTATCCCCTAAGTGTGACCGTACCCTCAGGCTTGCTTGGGGCTCTCTTCTCACCTCTGTGCCGGTAACTCCAGCATCTTTGTCATCAGCCTTGAGTCCTCCACTGCTGTTTGCCTGCTGAATGTTTCCATCCGGGGAGCCTGTTCGCAGGCTCAACATGTCTAAAATTCAACCGCTGTCTCCTTCCCCTTCTCCCCACCCAGACCTGTTCCTTCTCCAGATTTCCATAAAATTATCCACCATCCTTCCAGTCTCTCCTTGTGACCGTAGAGTCCTCCTAAGCTCATCTTCAGCGGCCACCTGTGGCCCTTTTTGCCTCCACAGTGTCTCTTGCATCCTTTTCCAGCCAGTACTCTAGTTCAGACCACCACCATCTCTTACCTTAGCTACTATAGTAGCCTCCTAATTGGTCTGCCTAATTCCAGCCTCTCCATTCTATGAGCTGTGAAAATAGTTTTTCCAAGGCATAGGTGTGAGTATGTCATTCCCTTGTTCAGGAGCCTTAGGGTTGGTGCACTCAGTTGCCTCTGAGATGAAACACAAGCTCCTCTTGACCCTTAAGCTTCCCCACAATCCTAGTCCAACTTAACCCATTTGTCTTCTTTTACATTACTTCTCTTCCAACTCAGAACTCTGTGGACCTATGAAGTCTGAAGCTTAGATGCCTCATCTTTCTTTTGGTTTAACTCGGGTCACCCTTGTATAGAGCCCTCCCTGATTGCCCTCTTTCCCTTCGTTATCACCCTCCCCCTCCTCAGATGTCCTTGAATGTGCTTACTTGTGTCAATAATTATAGCTCCCTAGGAGAATAGAAGGCCCTTTGAGGGCAAGGGCTTGTCTTTGCACAGTGTATAAGCTTAGTAAGTGCTTGTTCAATTGAACATAGAATTGAGATGGGAGAACAAGGCAACAAATTGGTCCTCATCTCATGAACTGACTCTTCATCTTTTCAATGTTCTCCAGTCTCAATACAGTCTGACAAGAGCACAGCAGTCCTACAAGTCCCTGGTGCAGATCCATGAAAAAAAGGGGGGGGGGGGGGGGGGGGGGGGGGGGGGGGGCACATGGAAGAAGGGATAACAACCCACATGGTCAGCCTTGGGAAGGGTGTGCCCTATAGGGCCTTCCCCAGTACACATGACTGCTTTCAGAAGGGGAGGGGCAGGAAATAGTCTGTCTTTATAACTTCCCCCCCATCCCCCTCATGTCCCCATTCCTTGTCACAAGCTGAAGGAACACATCTGGTCTCTCCTTCAGCCGTCTCAGATAAGGAGCCATATTGGGCTCCTTTTTTATGATGTCCAGGGAAGAAATCATCCAGATTTGCATTCTGTCATCTCCCATCTCCTCCCTATAGGGACATCCTTCCAGGGATCAAACCTTCCCTTAGAAGGAGTCCCAAGATTGAAGATGTGGGGCTAACCTTTGGGGACAGTACTGCTGACAGTATGCTTTGTTTACAGGCTGGTACACACCCCCCAAAGAAGACGGCTAACCCCGGAGTATCTTCCTCCTCCCTCCCCAGGCACCACTGGACCAATTACCTTTGAATGCTGTATTTGGATCTTACGCTGCCTCTGTGGTTCCCTCCCTCACTCTTTTCCTGGACGTGATAGCTCTGCCTATTGCAGGACAATGATGGCTATTCTAAACGCTAAGGAAAAAACAAAACAACAAAACACAGAACTGTTTCAGATACTCAAGACTGACTTACAAACCAACCAACCACCTTGCTGGAACCCTTGCTAGCAGGCATTCTTATAAAAGAAACTTTTGAGCCTTCTTATATTGCTGGAAACTCAGCTGTGCTCCAGACTAGAGCAGCCTCCTTACCTATGCTATGGATTTTTAATTTATTTTCTCTTATTTCATGTACACTGCTTTTTTTGGTTACAGTGTATGATGGATGTGTATGGAAAAAAAATGTATCTTTGGGAAAACAATTACAGTTTGTTAATTTGAAGATGCTGGTCTTGACTCTTTCATTGTTATTTTTATTCCCACATGCCATCCCCTGAACTGTGTGGTGGGGGGTGGGATGTGGGACACATGGTGTTCACCTTGAGTTTTGGTGTAGAAGGTGGAGGCCACATGCCCCTGGCAAGGAGGGGAGGGAGATTTGAAGCTCACCATAGGTCCATCCTTTGGCCGTGATGTCTCCAAAAGGCTTCTAAAGCAAACAGATTTTTAATCTTTTCTTTTTTTTTTCCCTTGGAAGAAAGAGCCACCTAGCCACTTTTGACCTGCTGAAATACACTCAGTGGCACCTTCAGTGCTATTGGGATTTTTTTTTTCCCTTTAGTTGGAATATTTTCAAATTCCTGGAAATGGAAGCATGGAGGCTGATTCATAGAGTTGTGTGAAGGGGTAAATAGAAGAGTACAACAAGGTAGAGGCCGTTGTCACTGAAGTGTATATTTGTCTCTTCTGGTCTCGTGGGCTCTGCTACAGCTATTACTTAGTTATTGATGTCCCTCCCTCTGCTAGTGTCCTGAAAACATCTCCTAGATCAGAGCATCTAGATAACTTTCAACAACCCCTCTGGTCCCCACCTTCCTGTTACTCTTGGCTACCATTAGGTCAGTTGAAAAAAGACCTGGCTTTGGTTTGTATAGAAGGAGTAGTTTGGTTGGTTTCTCAGCAGAATATCTCATAGGACTGTCCAGAATTGGAGCTGATTGAAAAGGAGGTAGCCTGGACAATGGGAGTCCAGTCCTCATAGGATTTGAGAACCAGGGCTCTGGTGTCAGGAGGGATAATTCCTATCAGAATCTGGATGTGCTAAACAAACACTCCACGTGCTAATGGTAGCCTCAGACTTTTGGGCTTCCCAGTTTAGGTGCTACCAGCCTCCTTCTGGCATCTCCTTGTCAGCAAGGCAGCTTAGGGGCCAAGGTAGCCACTCTTGCTATAAGCCTATGCCTATAGGCAAGTTATTGAAGGAAGCAACAGAACCAGAACCAGGCTAGGGATACCTGAGTGAGACTCTTGGCCTCAGGCAACTTAGGACTTGAGTCATCTGGTGGCAGAAGGAAGGGGTCATTGACTCCTCCCATGTAGGCTTTGGAGAAAAGTCGTTGGGGGAGGTATGTAGTGTCCAAACTGTTAACTCTGCATTTGGGATGTTCGTTTGTTTATTTGTTTTCTTTCTATTCCATTGAGGGAAAGAAAGTTTCTGCTCCAGGTGAATAGAAAGGGTTCTCCAGCCACACTCAATGCTGCTCTAACCCCACCTTCACCTTGTTGGGTATTCCAGAATAAAATGAGTTTTGTGGAACAGGGGACATAGGGAAAAATCTCATTCTGAGGAGGAGAAATCTGGCTTTCAAGGCCTCTGTTGCTTCCTCTCCTAATGTCTGTTACCAGCCCTGGCTGGAGTATAGATTGTGTTTTAGTAGAGTGTACTCCATGCGCTGTTCTCTGCATAATGTTTTTTGTAATGTATTTTTCTCATCTACCAAAGGATGAAATGGAAATAAAAGTTATTTAAATAGTTTGGCTCTAATAAAGTTATTTAAATATTAAAGAGGTAAGTTCATATATAAGCTTTACTTTACTCCAGGGAAACAAAAACGATGGGAGCAGGTAACTATCATCTTCAAGTTGTACAGCAATGAAAGGAACGTCTTAGTTGTCCAGCCCAACCTGAACAGATCTCCTTTTATCGTATCTGTCAACATCACTCCAGCCATCTTGCTATTGCTGCCCTCATATACAGATCCACTCTTTTCTGGCTTACCACCTTTCTCAGACAACCATACTCAAATCAGTACTATTACTGCTAGAAAGGTCAGCGCCCTTCCACTGTGGTTCCACTCACTATCCTTGTGACCAAAACAACTACTCCTGTCTACTACTCACTCTGTTAGAATCTACATCTGATAAGGGTCTGATGGCCAAGCTACAGAGGGAGCTAACACAAGTATGTAATGCCAAAATCCATTCCCCAATAGATAAGTTGTCAAAGGAGGCCAAACCATTCTCACAAAAACTGCAAATATTAATAACTACTGAATGTTCCAAATTACTAATAAATGAAAATCTTATAAATCAAAATTACACGATGACTTTTCTAATTCCCTGACTACCTACTTTGTATTTGCTTTGTAATGAATTCTGCGTTTACTTATATATGTACACATCTTCCCCCAATCAGAATATACATTCCTTGAGAGCACAGTGTGCTTTACCTTCTTCCATATACTCAGCTCCACACAATGCCAGGCACATAAAGGGTGCTTAAATGTTTGATTGATTGAAAGATGAGACTAGTCAAATGTTTGAGGGGCTGTATAAACACAGGCATGGAAAGGTCTTATATAGCCACCTAACTTAAAGATGTTGGCCAGAAAGGTTTTATTTTTGCTAAAATGATTTCCCCATCCTTTACTAACACTAAAAAGATTGAGGAATAGCTAAAACCATCTGTGGTACATGGCTATAATGGAATATTACTGTCCCATAAGAAACAAATGAGCCTCTAGGTGGTGCAATGGATAGAGTGATGGGCCTGGAGTCAGGAAGACCTGAGTTCAAATCTGACTCAGACACTAGCTGTGTGACCATAGGCAAGTCATTTAACCCTGTTCGCCTGTTTCCTTATCTATAAAATGACCAGAAGGAAATGGCAAACCGCTCTACTACCTTTGCCAAGAAAACACCAAAAGGGGTCATGAAGAGTTGGACACAATTGAAACAAGTGAACAATTAAAAAAACAATGTGAGCACAGAGAAGTGTGGAAAGATTTGTATGAATCAATGCAAAATGAAGCCAGCAGAACCAGAAACATGTACACAATGATCAATAATGTAAACGAAAAGAAAAAATGAAAACTAAATGTTGTCTAATTATAATGACCGAAAAAGAATGAGAGTGTACCTTCCTTAATTCTTTCCTGACTGGGAGAGTACTACATACAACCACATAATAACATCAAACTTGGTTGATGGGTTAGTTACTGTTTTCAGTTCAGTAACTTTTTCAAAATGCACATGTAAACATGCTGAATCACTTTGATGCATATCTACTTCCAGGTGGAACATTTTATCAATCATTTAGTGCTCTGTTTGGAAGCTAGCTCCATCAGACCTTTACTGAGCAATTCCTGGGATGCTACGTGGGCTAGAGAACCCTAGATCTTCTGTCTCCAGAAAACCATTGCAGGGGCGATAAGACTCCTTTCAGAATCTATTGTATGTTGCTTTGTCAAAGAGATTGTTGAATTCTTTAGAACTTTTCCCTTGGACCACTTCTAACTTTGCCTTTAGACTTGTTCATGAGTCTTTGTAGCTGTAAGACTTTCTTGTAAGAATAAGAAAGGGGTGAAACAGTTGTAAAAACTGTCTTTCTTTTCAAGATCTTAGTGGGGCAGTGGGAGGAATCAGGAACTCATGAAGCCTCATCATGTCATGTAAGGGCAAGAAATAAAGAAATCTTGTCTATGCCACCCTTACCCACACTAGGACAGGCAGTTGCAAAGTAGGGAGCTGAATTTCAAGAAGGAAGGTATAGCTGGACAGTTTCTAAAAGGTCTGGAATAGTTGCTCAATCAACTGGGGAATAAAAAAATTGTAGTACATGTATAATGGAGTACTAGTTCAGAAGAAATGTCACTTCAGAGAAGCATGGGAAAATATATGAAACAATACAGAGTGAACCAAACAAACAATATGAGACGGCACATAAAACAGAACAAAACCCAAAATGGTCATTGTGCTTATAATAATGACCAAGGTTAGCCCCAGAGACAAGCTGAGTTCCTGAAAAGAGTTCCTTTTTTTGCCGAGGTAGGGGATTAAGAGTATGGAATATTGCCCATACAGTCAGGCCTGTTTGCTAAACTGTCCCTCCACCTTTTTTTTTTAATTCACACAGGATGGCTTACTGAGTGAGGGAGAAGGAATAAATTCAGCAGGTGACATAAAAACAAAAGACAGCAATGAAAATGATGGGAAAACATCTGTAGATTGTACAAGTGAACTACAAGATTAATGTAACTAGACAGTGTGACATGGCAGCGGAAAAAAAAAAAAACTCGAATGCAATCTTGGACTGCTGTGAAAGTCACGGCTTAGAGAGA